TGTACTTGGTCTCATTATGCCACCCATTGAAACTCGGGAACGGGACCAAGATTGCGGCGCATATTTTCGATCTTGTAACCGATTTTGAAAAATGTTTCTCCTGCATCTAAATATCTTTTCTTATAATCCGAGTGTATGGTCTCAAATAATATATTATCAATTAAAGACAATATGTAACTTTTAAAATTGGTCAAACTTTACGGTATTATATATTTTTTTCAATATGACGAAAATTTGACTAATTTTTAAACCCAATCGGATATTGTGAAAAGATATTCAAAGGTCGGACAAACACTATGTCGGTACGGATTCGGATTAATGCGCTGCAATATGCGGTCCTGTTGATGCCACGAACAGACTTGGGTTATTTGTTATCAATTCACAGCTCTTGGTACCACAACAACCTGTAGTAAATTAATCTAACGCGGATTTTCTTAACAAAATACGCTCTAGTTGCCTAAAATAATTTCAAAGTGTTTAAAAGGCAGTACACCTACTACATGTAGTTAAGTAAAGAAAAAAATGTACAAATCAAGAACGTAATATGTAATCAGTATAATTTGATAACGAGTCATGAATATTCAGCCATTTTCATTTTTAGATGTTTTTGACAAGTCTCGTTTTGTTCATTTATTTTTCTGCTTAATGTTTTCTTAGTAAAGAATTAAAGCTATTTGTCGGTAGTTTTACCGAGTTGTTTTTTTTAAAAAACCTAATCTTACCATGACCTTACATTTTCTAAAACCGAGAGCAAATCAATAATTCCCAAAATTTGCTGTCTTCCAGTTATTTTGGGTTCAAGGTTATTTCTTTAGCTACGGCTAGTGACAATAAACAAGTAGAATGAATTGTTTATATTATTCAACTCTTTCATTTGTTTATGGTTCTATTCTTTTAAAAGAATATTTTTGTAAACAGTTGGACACGTTTCTGAACTGATTACTGATTGTTTCATTTTTTTCTGAAAATATTGTTTACGTGAAAACTGTGTGAATGTACAATAAATGCTTATAAGTAAAGATTTAAAGATTGAAATGTCACTGTTGTGGAATGTTTATCAAGAATAATCATAAGCTACATATTTGTATAGGTCTAGGATGGGTCTACATAAAATCAAACACATTTGATTTTAGTTTTACAAAATTTTAGTGCACTTTTATGGGGTTAATTGCACCAAGCCCTTTGTGTCAACTAGTTTGAAACTGCTTATTATTATTATTATAATTATAATTATTAATGCTTATTATGCTATTAACTGCTTGCTTGTTATTCAGGGAATTGAAATTATTATGTAAGCATTCTAACACGGATTTGAATATTTGATTTTACATCGTTTAATTTATCTACATGGAAAAATCTGGAATTATTGACAATTATTTAAACATGTTACTCACAATCAATATATGAAACAGTAAATCATTACATATGACACTAGCCTTGTGTTACCGCGCCTATTGAGGTAGCAGACTCGAGTCCACCATTCGACAAACATTTCCGTCTATATTTTGTCCATAATATTTAAATACTTTTATTATATTACATTTTATATTGATACAAATAAGAACTGGCAAGATAAATGTACAGGATTCACAACAAATTCAAATGGATACCAAACAAAGTATTCATCATACCAAACATCGTAACTGTTCATTACCCAAAGTCGTATCGGGGTTTAGTTTGGAAAGGCAAAACAAAAATCGAGGAAATATTCCCTAAAATCGAACATATAATTCCATTATACTGAAATTGTTTCATATAACTTGACTGTACTGGCATGCGAGCAGTTCCCGTACAAAAATCGTAGTTACTTAAACATTATTTTTTATTACGCTCACTCACCAAAATTTGAATGTTACACATCAATATTCGGCTCGTCACACAAATCATGGAAATTCCATCATGTTCTAAACATAGAATAACCCTTAGTTATGAGGCCTCATATGGGGTACAGAAATTATCCATTATTTTGTATGAAGAGAAGTAGTTCCCGTACATAAAATTTAACCCATTATTATTATACAATTTATTATTTATTATTATTATATCGGACCTATTTTTCATTTATAATTGTTGAACAGACCATTTTCTAAGAGATAAATAGATGTAATTCAGGAAATAGAAAGTAGACTAAACGCGTGTATCTATTACCCGGTACCGTTACCCCCAACGCATTCACATGCGATGGCATGCTTGTATGCATGATATTTTACGCATCAAAGCCATAAAATTATTTTATATAGTAATATTGGTCAAAATTCTGATAATTAAACAAGTTTTCATCACATTGCCTTCTTATCTGTAAACAGGTGGTATTAGTGGAAAACCCTTTAACATGCCTTACGTGTAAGTATGTTTGCGCATGCGCGCAAGGACGGAATCCCCAGATAAAACAAGGTCACGTTTTGACAACGCACAGGTGAAAGTGATTTAAAATGAGACTTTTTATACGTACTGCCGAACTGACACTTAGATTTTGTCTCGTTTATGTATCTGCTTGATTTGAAATGAATTTTTGAAGAATGCATGTAAAAATCAAGCGTTTAAATGAAAAATACGGGTACTGTTTCTGTACGGGAACTGCTCGCATGCCAGTATGTGCAATCTGGCTTAAGTTTAGATCTACTTATTATAATAAGTTATTTATGTGTAGCGGTAATTAGGAGCTGATTGTAATCAGATTGACTGTGGGTATTACGAAATACGTGCAAAAAAACCCCCAAACTGTCACGATTTTAGGACCGATGTACAAGTTCACTAAAAGGCCATGACGCTACTTATTATGCAAAAATTACATGTACTTAGAATTACTCATTTCATTTTTTCTGTACATATTACGGACACTGTTGAAGATGTATCAAACATTTATTTATTTCACTGACAGTATTAGCTGTATATAATTGATCAGTTGATTAAACTTGGCTTTACATACACACGAACATTTGAAGGGAAATAACTATATCTTCATAACAAACCGCTCTATAATTAACGTAGCTTTTAATTGTACTGCATCTGTAAAACAGCGGACATCGTTGTTTTAATATATATAATCATATTTTTAATTGGATAAAACTTCAATCTGTGGTCTAGCATAACAATTGTAGTACCTCTACACATTATGTTTTAAGTGATTAATCTACAAGTTAATCAACCAAAAGTCACTTCTTTGAAAACTCTTATCAATCTATGTCATGTCTTTGTTATAAAATGAAATAAAATCGGGAACGCAGCTGTTGACCCATAAATAATAAACTTATAAACACACCCGTGAACTGTTTGCAAGTAGATAAGTTGCTTGCGGGTAAAACAGTTGCGCGCTTTTTAAGGCTTTTTTTATCCTGCAATCGATTGCTGCACAAAATATCATAGACAAATAGGTCTGTGAGAAGAGACAAAAAGAAAGAGAAACATATCTCGTAAATTCGGATTAAAACTGACATATATATAGTGAGTTCTAGCTGCATCAGACTACCCTGCTCGCTACATGTTAACGGGCGTGATAATAGGGGTGTCAAGTGAAAAACATAAACCGTTAGGCCGTTAGGTCACAGTATTCGCGTGGAAACTGCAAGTTTACGTCTATGCATATTTAATAACTGTTCACAAATATGTTGATGTTTTTAGACCTGTTTTGTGTAGGAGAATAGCTTTAAAACTTGATATACAATCAATGCTTCGGCAACATAGAAAATGTTTATTAGTACAATTATAATTCATATTTAATATGTTTCCAAATGTACTATTCATGTAGATATATCATTTGCGGTTCGAGTTTGACATTCTTCCCGGTTTAAAAAAGTGTGTTTATTTTGGTAGTTATCTATGTATGCGTGAATTTGTTTGATCTAATTAGCCGACAATTGAATTTGAAGATACTGAATTTGTATTTTAGTAACGCAATCCCGTGACCTTCTTGTGAATGTTATAAATATGAGTTTATTAATATGCATGGTGACATGCAGTTTTACACAATGAATGTATTAATGTGAAATAAAACGCTTGCAACAGTCAATATTTTAACGTACGACACTACTGCTTCCAAACCATAATGATAAGGAACTTGTACATAACTAGATGACTTTGAACAAAGCATACAATTTCAAATAATTATACAGTAAACAGAGATGTTTAAAAAATAGAATAAACAGGGGAAAAATGATCATTTATACAATTATCATAGTAAACATGAGGAGGGAACTTATAATAATAAATTGTAACACTATCCAAACTTTTATCTACAAATAAAAATTCAAGTTACAGAACTATGTTTACCAAAAATATATGAAAGGAAAGATCAACAAATGAAAACGACAATCACCAAACGCAGTTCCCAGCTACAAAGGAACCATAGGTAAGGGACATAACAAGATTAACGTTAAAGACAAGACATGCAGTTGGAAGTCATAGCTTGCTCAATTATACGTTTATTATCATGTAGTAATTTCTGTTTAATATACATACTCTCACGTTTACAGAAATAGAAGAGAAATACAATTTTTTGTTGTTGAATATTTACATTATACATGTACGTGATTGGTGAACCTAATCAAAGGCAATGCTCATCTTGTCATTGCTAGACACTTTGATCATCTAACAGGTACTACTTACACAGAAAGTGCAGGTACTGTTTATGAAAGAAAATATAAAGCATCCCCGACAATCCTGTAAGGGATCCAGTAGGGCACCGGACCAAAAACGGGTGGGGGCCAAGAGCAGAGATAGGCCTGGATTTTAAACTGTTTTCGATAAAAGATTTAACATTATATACGATAATGAGGTTTATGGGACCTAAATAACAGCCACTATGCTTCACATAAACAAATACATTCTGTTTTGTACCATTAGTTATCAGTATAACGAAAGTGTCATTATTCACACAAGATATGTTCTGATTTTTTGTCGAATATTTCTTTCACAAACTGGACAACTTGTAAGGGGCTCTGCACACGTCATGCACAGCCGATGGTGAGTACACGGTAGAAACAAAGCATTTACGTTGTTTGTTCCACATGCCATACAAATCACCAGACGCTTTAACCGTTGATTCTCTTCTACTGGTGTTTCTGAAAATTAAATTTTTTGCAATAGTTTACAAATTTAGAGTTACTGAGAGTCAAAGGCATGTTTAATATACAATAACATAGACTTCTGTGTCACTGGAGTATAGTATAGCGAATCGTCATAAAATGCAGCTACTAAAGGCATTTAACATTGCTCTCAAAAGTCAGCTTAGTTGCCTATTAATAAATGCAGATATGAAGTAATAGAGCGTTTGAATTCGTTTTGCTACAGGAGAGGATATTACAAAGAAACAAATTAATGAATACATTGTCTTCATTATATCTGTGCTTAATTTAAAAAAAAATGGCTTTTATGGTCATTGCAGGGGTTAGATTTGAAAATCAAAAAAAAAGAAGAAAATTCATACACAATGAACCTGACGTTGTATTTTAATAATTGAAATATCATAGCAAATCCTTCAAAAAATCATATACATATTTATAAAATAAATCTAAGAAGAGATAGTGTAAAAACAATATTATTGTAACATGTCTGTAAGTTCTATGTGTAATACATGGGAATCATAAGCAATTGTTATGAAGTGTACATTTAAAGTTGTTTTTTTATTGCTTCTTTACAAACTTTTTTCTGTATCTGTTGCAACTATCTCGTCTACGAATCGGCTAAAGTGCTCGAGACCATACGTAACTTAGACTAAATCACGTTCTATTAAAACATTCAAGTATCAAAAGGCAACAGTTTGCAAGTTTTGCTTTTCAACCCTTAGCTGTTTACAATTAACCAAAGTTCTGATAATAATTAAATTTCAATTTAATGTGAACCAGCGTGCAGGTAATTAATTGCATGCAGTTGTATTGTACATCCTCAAGAACAATGCGGCCTTATGAAGTTTTAAAATATATACTGATCAACACTTATTATTGTACCATATATGTTAATATTTTGCTTAAATAACTATGATATAATTCCCTGTATCCAAGTGTTTAACCATGTGCACACTTTATATTGCAACACATTATATTTATACGAACGACACAATGGCAACACTACACTGTTTCAATAAGATTAACGTTTGGATTTTAACTTATCAACTTATTTTACACTACCATTTTGTTTCTTTTCTTCTATAAGCGATTGACGTTTTCTTTCTTTGATAACCTCGATTGTATCAAGAATTTCCTCAATATGCGGCAAAATGGTACCTACAAAATAATGGTTTTTGATAAAAACAAACACATGAAACTTAAAAACAGCATTGCTTATATCTAGTTAATTTTAATCAATTAATTTGATAATTCATTAATTAATTCATTTTTTCTTTGATTGATTGATTGATTGATTGATTGATTATTTCATTCATTCATTCATTCATTCATTCATTCATTTTCATTACTTATAACTTTATTTAATTACACAACTAGCTTCAAATAGAGGCCTCTGAGTATGTTCATAAATTACATTATCAAATTAATATTTGATTACTATGTTCCTTATATTGAGCAAAATTTTGAATAAACAAAATCGGAGATAATTCGACAGTAAATATTCTTGTATCAGATAGACCTCTATTATAAATGTGATATTTGCTATAAAGTACAAAGCAGAATATTACCCCTATCTCTAATTTCCTGAACAGCTTCATTAAAGTCTTCTAATTGATATCCCATTTCAAGACAGGTGTCTTTATGTTCATTTAGGGCTGCATTATATACTGGGTCCCGCAGAGTCATTTGTTGCATTGTACTAGACAAATCTTCACCATTTTCCTGAAATAAAATAGATTTGTACAATAAGAATGCCTTTGTATATATAGATATTGAGAAAGGTCGGTTAAAGTATTGGATGTAAATTGTGTTAAAAAATATAAAGTTTTGATTGCTATTGCAAAATTTTCTAAAATTCACTCACAAAACAAAAATGTTCGTCAGTACCTAAAGCAATTGATTAGTCAATTGAATGTATCATCACCAAAATATCAAGTAGCATTACTCTAAAATTTATATAAAATGCAAATTTGATTCACCATGGGATTAAGGCAATAACTTTCAATGCTAACAAAATATCATTTTGATAAGTTAGTTATATTATGGATGAATATTTATGTTTTTATTTTGAATAACATTATTCAAAAATGTGATAATTCTTACTTACTAAAAGTTAGAATAAAAAAAACGAATAAATAGATTTTTGAACATTCTTTAATATAAACAATAAAAACTCAAAATTCAGTTCAGCTTTTTGTTAATTAATTGGCCTTTAAGTTGCATGTCAGAAGTGTAACAATACTGACTTCTGCTCCCGATAATTTCTTTAAAATACCTCATTTCCATAATTTGACGAGGCTTGGACTAATGCAATGAAATCATCCCCTTTCTCAGCTCTAACAAAAGGACAAGCCGGAAACCAGCGACAATGTTCTGTCCACGGTTCGTCTTCTGCATCCCAGCGCCTTAGGCCCCCATCACAAGCAAAACAACGAACAAGGTCCTCAAATCCTAAAGCATTGTCAGAATATCAGTCATTTAAGGTTTCTGGTCGGTTCAAGATTTAACTAATAATATAACTCATATGGCCTTTCTTGTGTTTTAGCATAAACACGTCTCGATGGCGTTTTATCAGCTTAAATACGTACATGGCATAAATGACAAACCAAAAGAGTATAAAGCTACTGAGCCTAACATCCATATACTTATTTATTTAATGATAAGTATAAATGCATACCTTTTAAACGAAATAAGGACTACTGAATAGTTTTTTGCGTGCAATAGTGAATATACACAAATACGATAGTAAAAACCATACATTATGTAGGATAAACTTGGTTAATCAGACTCATTTCATAAAATGGTTCACGTTTAATGGCGCAGGTGCGAAACTATTAACAAGTATATTTAACAAGTCGATGCCTTGGTGCGAAAGGGTTGTAACTCATAATTTCACCGAAAATGGTTTTATGGTGTTTTTCAATGAAGGAGCAATATACATACATGTTGTAAAAATATTAAACTTGAAAGCTAAAATTAAACTACCAAAAAAGTATATTTGTCCAAAGGTTGTAACTCAAACAGACATATTTTGTTGGTGCGAAATGCGAACATTTTGATAATATTTTGAATAAATCCTAGTGCAAAACAGTTGTATCTCAATATCTTATATCATATTCTGTGAAATATTTAGTGGATTATTTCTTTCAAACTAATTGACAAGTTTATAAAACAGTCTCAGCTTCTGATTCCTTGTTATTTACATAATTGTTGAGCTTTCATTCAGACATAATACAAGAATTTGAATAACTTATACATATTTCAAACATAAATCAATTCCAATGCTTATAAAAGAAACAATATCATAGTACATTGCTTTATTTGACTAACAGTACTATTATAGTGATTTTTTCTCAACATAAAAATTGTCATTGGTATAATGTTGCAAAATAGCAAGAAAAAGTAATGGACCTATTTTGGTTTTACGAAAATGAAATTACCGTAACTCAAAATAAATTTATTATAAACAATTGCCATACAATATATTATGATTGTATCATAGTTTGGAGACTTTTGAAAACATGTCAGAGTTAAATTGCATACCAATACATGCACAGTGCTTTAACGGATCTTGCTTGTTAACTGGTTCATTTTTTCTGGTTTCTACATATTGTGACGACAGGGAAAGAGACAGGGAAGGAGATAACAGTAGAAAAGTCATATTCAGATGCTTATACATTTGGTACATTTTTCTTGGATGACTGGGAATGTGTTTTTAGTTTTGCCTAAGATACAAAAGAGAAAGAACATCAAAACAATTGGCAATCTGATTTATACTCTCATACAGCCTCGTGTTTCGATGCTTTTTTAATTACTCAATGTTAAAATAACTTAAAGAAATTATACAATTATTACTCAATTCTTGATTTGGTTTTAAACTTACATGAATTACTATTGAATATTTTCATGTATTGTCAAAGACAAATTGTATAAATATTGTACTAAAATTTATTTACGTTACAAGACAATGTCTGACTAGATATGTGAACAAATTTTTCTTTGACAACATATTGTAAACAGTAAGTTTAGATACATATACATAATAATAAAATAATTATGTATAGACAAAAGTATTACAATATAACAAAGGTGTTTATGTGTAGATAATATAAAGCTACATGTAGATAAAAGATGTTAAAATTAAAATTCTTAAAAAAAATATTAAAGGATTTCTCAGTATCAATAGAAAAATCTAAACCTAACATTATATCCCTAAAGCAAAGATTAAAAATGTTACATGCTTGTTTGCATGCCTGTTTGATTGAGCTTTTCAAGGACAGCAGTAGTAAATGCAATCAACTGTCAACTCTTCTGGCACAAATTTAAGCAAAACTCAACTAAACATGTTCATGGTGTTAAAATTAAGAAATCACAAATATCTGCTGATGGGACAAAAGAAAAAGACTTTCCATTAAACTCCAAGCCAACAGTATGATGTATGGTTGAATTACACAGATAAACTGGCTACATGTATATCCTGCTTAAGTTACATAGGTCTATTATTTTAGAAATAATATATCCCAAACTGTGATTTTATCGCTCAATAAAATCACTGTTTGGAGGTCGGGTGTGTGGAATTACGAGGGTGATATAATGATGCACATTCAATCAACAAACAGTGATTTTATCCAGTGATTCCAAGCAATTTGGATATATTATTTTGATTCTAACACAACATCAACAAATAAAATTTTAATGCTGCTGTACCTTATATTTAGCTAAATTGCGCCTGATTTGTTCCGTACTCATTTTCACCGCATCACATTTTTAGTGGTTACTTTGCGTGTATAATGATAACATCACATGTCTTAATATAGAATGTCAAACAGTGATTTTATTGCATAATAACGCACACTTTCGGTTCTTCTATGTTCAATAGGGAAAAATGCGGGTCGTGTTAGAATATTAAGTAAAATATGTTATTGACCCTTTGTTTTCTGTTAGATAAAAGTAAATTATCAGATATATTCTATCTGCTATTTGAAATCATTCTTAAAGATATTAATCACTTCCTCAGCTGTATGTGCGTTTGTGTGCACACCTATGAATTTTATTGGGTTGAGGGGATTGCATTTTGTAATTGTTATTATTTGCAGGCCTTATTTTTTTCTCATTTAATTACTGACTGATTTATATAATTATAAACAATGAAATTTGGGACTGTAAAGAGTTGTAAGAATAGCATGAGCTTAGAAGCTTAGAACATCTATTATCATCTTTCTCATACTTTTGGCTTAATAGTAAAGAAGATCCTGGATAATGCTTAAATATATAGAATTTGTACACAAAAGCACATCCTAGGAATTATCTAAGTTTTCAAATTAAGAAAAGCTTATGTATAGAATAGATGTAAAATAAAACGAGAGTATTCCCATTTTCTAAAGGCTAATATATTAACAAAAATAAATGTGTCTTAGATGGTTTTGTCATTATGTAAGTTTACATTTTGAATTGGGAAAATTTACCTTTGATTCTTGCAAAAACATACATGTTAATGCATATTTGGTACTTATGATTGGTTTGACAATCTGAACTGTGTGTCACATGGAAAAAATATTATATATTTAGTGAATTTCTTTAAAAAAAATCATTTGACTGAAATTATATTTTAAAAACATAAAATTTGAAGGTTTTTCACTGAAATATCCAGGCAATATGTTAAATTAGTTCATACTAAACACAACTAAGCTTGGATCTGTTCATTTGACCCATTACAATTATCAGAATTTAAAGCAAAAATTTAGTTACAACCCTTTCGCACCAAATCATTTTTTGAATTTTTTTATTTTTTTGGTGCGAAAGGGTTGTAACTGAAACTTTATCAATTATCTCTTTATCCTGGCAAAATAAAATAACCTTTCCAATCAATTATATATCAGTAAATGAATGAAAGCCAAAAACCAAAATTAAAGAAGTATTTATTAGAATGTAAAAGAATAAATAAGTTTTTTGTCTCTCCTGAATAATTTCAAAATATTGAGTTACAACCCTTTCGCACCAAGGCATCGAAGTGTCATGTTCAATGGGCTGTAGAATACAATGGACAAAAATACGGAATTGTGGATAATATATTTGCTTTTAATGGTTACTGAATATATGGTTTAGATAATTCAAATAAGGCATTACGGGTAAAATATTTAATGTCATTAAAATCTATTTATTCACAAGTACTCTCTGGAGTAAAATTACGTGATACAAACCGGCAATTTTTTTTAACATTTATCTATGAGTGAGACAGGGAGAATCTTTGAGTCCTTTCTGTTTGCTATGCATTTAAATTATTCAGAAAAAGAAATTGCTATCAAGTGTATAGAGGGGTGGATATAGTGAGTCTCTTAGACAGTTTTAATCTCAAGAAGATTGTTCTACACCCAAGATTTGAAGTCTAGTCTTGATTCTTAACAAGAATTTTGTTCCCGATTTGTAAAGAAAGATAAAAACCATTTTTATATAAAATTTAATTTTTATTGATTTATGTTGGGGAGGGGGTTTCGTTTACTTCATTTCTGTTTTATTATAATACAAAATATTACAATATATTATAAACTGCTATTATAGATATCGATGACGAGTTAATTGGTTTTATCATTAAACATGAAGACTATAATAAGAAATCATACAGAAAATGTAATTCATATTTAATTCATATATTTTGTAACAATCTTTCTAGAAATTGTTGCTGGAGAGGGCTCAACATATACGTTCGGTGTAAATGTACTTATACTTTTTTTAAAGACCTATTTTCAAAAACAAAAAACTAATTGATTTATATTAGTTAGTTTGATTTAGAATTTCTGAAAATTGACCTACAAGTGATCGAGTGACAATCAGTTTATAAACAGTACAAAAAGGTTTTCCACAAAAGTTAAAAATAGCATTTACAATGCAAGTAACGTCTGTTTATTTAAGATATGGAAAGGATGATAAGTTCTCGTTGGTTGTTAATATACATGAGAGTGGCACCGCATCAATAATGCAAATATAAATATACATTTGTATACTGCGCAGCTAATAATAGAGATGGCTATTAATACGGGTTTTTGGAAAACCGATGTTGAAGTTACTATCTAAATTTGTATAAATTGTTTGTTACGTAACATTACTTTACCTATGGTTTCAATCAAATGAATCAATTATAAACGTCTTGGACGGACGAATATTATTAATTGTTTTTATTTTATTTATCGTACTTTATTTCTAAAAATGCACTTTACTTTAATGTTTTTAGTCACAAACAACAATTTTGTAATACACGAGCAAAAATGCTTTCAAAGTTTGTAAGAGTACATAACTACATAATTATTTATTGTTGATAGATGTTAGTATCTACAGCATGCAAAGGCGATTTGGGCTTATATGGCTTCCTAAACTATTCTATTTTCTTAATTTGTATTGTATTTTATTTTTTATGAAAGAACAACGCTTCTTCTTCTTCTTTTTATGTATTTTTTATAATAATTATTAAATTTTGCCATTTTTGTACAAAACCAATTAATTATGAATAAAATTAATGAATAACTTCAGCTAAAATTACCCGTGTAATATAGACCAGCCTCCGCCAACTGTCGTGGGGTTTGGATCAAATGCCTCGGCCATTTGTCAAACGTGTTAAGTCGTAGTTCAAAAGTTTGATATTCGGGATGTCGAACTGTGTAGTTTAATTCTGGACAAGTACTTTCACTAACTGTAAACAAAATTATCTATATACTTTTCTAGAGACAAAACGTTAATGTAAATATCGTAAGCAAAGAAAAGATAAAACATTTATATAGTACTGGTATCTTTATATTTTGCCTAACAGTCAAAACGTCAAATGATTTTTCAATAAATAACCAAAAACATATTTATACACTTTGATACATAAATACAAATACGGAAAAGCATTCTGCTATGCTATTTTCTGAAAGCGTAATGCCAATTCAATTAATAAACGATCAATACTTAATTCGAAATGTCGATATATCGGTTTATCAGTTGAAAAATGATTATTGCTGTGCAAAAAAAGCAATCTATGAAACAGGCTGAGTATGTTTTAACGACAAATGACAACTTTACTAATTTAAAAAATAATGTAATTAAACATGTATTGAAATAAATGTAAAGGAAAATCTGTTTTTGTTAATAACCCACCAAAAAACTATTTTGTTTAGAGGAGTGTATATACCATTTTGTTATAAAATAAAGGTCGAATCGTACATGTACACGTGTGTTCAGCTTTGTAACAGTAATATGATTATTTTCATAACATATTCACGGTAAAATAATGGTATTTTGCATGATTTATATTAAAATATGAAATAATTAAACTGAGATAAATTATGTTTTTAAAAGCTTATATAAACCGAGTAATAAGTAATAAGAAGCGACTTTAAAGTGTATAAAGCTATATATCTGCTGCAAGAACTGTTATTTACATTTAAAAAAAGAATACTTCCCAAACGCTTGTATGAAATAAAAATGGTAGATAATTCCCTTAAAAGTGAATGGCACATATAGAAAATCATTGCTAAACGGAAAATAGGAAATAATATTTTGTTCCGGAACATTTTACTCTATATTATTCTGCTTATGTACAATATTCATGTGTGTTAAATAACAGAGACATTCTATGTTGCACCTTTTACGGCAATCAACCGTATGATAATGGAACCAATATAATTTTACTGTTGATAAATTTTATAAAAATACTTCATAAGATATAGATTTATACCCTTTAAAAGATGATATGACAAATATATTAAATTATATAGACAATATTTTTTTTTAATTATTTTAAGAGACTACAATCATCTTTGTTTATGTTAATAATTCTAGGTTATCTCTCTCTGGCATGAACGAATTGTACGACCCTCCCTTGATTCGATTCATGTTCGAAGTACACATTATTGTTTTAGCTTTAAATAACTCACTTTCCAATTGCCTTTGTCTGTTAAGTTCGGGGTCTTGCATTTGCAGCTGAGTCTAAAATGAAAGTTACAAGTGAAGTTATAAATAAAAATTATAAAAATGTCAAGACGACAAGCTAAATACATCCATTTTGATATCATTCTATATGGTAAAGATTTAATAGTTGGATGACCGTGCATGTGCGCATGTCATTTATTGTATTAACTAAAACAGCACCAAAATGTATGGTATACTTTAGTGAACATTTAATTTCAGCACCACTAATCATTTGGAACTGGTTTTTGAAATTTAACCACTACATTCTAAATTCTGCATGCTAAATTGGAGAGTGGGATAAAAAAAGCGTTTAAGTGCTTAAAATCTACAGTTAATTTGGACCTATCAATATGACTGATTAATCAATGTAATTCATGTAAAAATATTGTAATTATGTATTTAGTTACCAAAAGCCCCGATAATTGTGTCTGTCCAAGGTATTGTAACAGAAACGGACACTGACTTGAATGTCGTACATGCTCATAGAGAGGATTGTCGTCTTGTGAAAAGTCTTTGAGTCCAATCCCACACTGAAAGCAGCGGACTAAATCCCCTTGGTCTGTAAAGAAAATGAAATTAAATACTGAAGAACCAAACCGTAGTTTTAGTCTTTGAATTGACTGGTGTATTTAGTATGTAGCTGAGACTAAATACCAAACGAATGACTTAATAAAGTCATACAAATGTTATTGAACAGAATAGCACAATGTATCCACCTGAAATATTAAATAACTGCTAGAATTTTACACAGAATAATATTCTACTTCCGTATTCAAATAGAGATACCTCAATACATGCAGAATAAAAAGAAGGTTCACGAAACATACCCGTAAAGAAAAATCCTGCTTCACTCAGCTGAGAAGGGTCTGGTTTTCTGTGAGTCCATCTTGCATACGACCTAATTCGTTCATGTATATTAATATATTCAGGATATCTTGCCTTGACAACTGAACGTTCGGACCTTTCTGTCGGTATTGATGATTCATTTAAACTTGACTGATTATTAGGCAGTGTTTGGAACAAGGCGCCATTCGAAAATGCGATTAAACTTTGTCCTTCATTGTCTTGTTCCCCAGATACCTGTAGAGGAAACTCGTCCTGACTTCTAGTGTACGGATAAATGTTTCGTTCTTCATTTTTCACCAAGTTTCTCAACGACACTTTCAATTTTCTTTTATTGGATCTTCTAGTTAACGATAAGGGCTTTTCACCCAGTATTTTCCTTTTATTATTCACCTTATAAAGTCGTTGCTTACTCAGCTTATCTGTATTACTGCTACGAAGTAAACTTTCAAACTCTACAAACAGTATCTCTGAAAAATTGCGAGCTTCGTGAATTTCTTTTGAGATTTCTTTAAATAACAGCGATGTTTCAAGGCATTGTGGCATTGCTCTTGCATTCCCTTTATCTGTCCAAAAACAGACCAGTTCATGATTTAATCCATATATATTGATTAGACTTTGAACGTCGTTTATGTCTACATGTTTTCTAAATGGGCATTTTTGAAGAATAGCTAACAGCTCCACTGACAAACATGTAAAAATATATACCTCTTCGTCACAAAAAGCGATCAAGCAGTCTTTGAATACATGCGTTACTAATACCATGTAGATCAATATCTTGTTCCATGAAAAAGTATTTTTGTACATTAACTTCAATAATCGCCCTTTACCATTTAAAATGTTCTTATTTCTTATTTTATTCAGTATCTTCATTTTTATACCGTTTGCTTTGTACGTAATGTTAAAATAATACTTGTTTGTACATGTATTTTTCTATACAGTCAACGGATCGAACATACATGCCCTGCTCCTGATGTTTGCGGTTTACAAGTTATGTTCTGTTCTCCAGCGGCGGTGACCTGTCTTGTTTATTAGCATACTTTCATTTTCTCCGTTTGCTGATTTCTGTGGAAAGTGCATGGAGGTAAATACTCACCTTTTCATGAATTTATGCTTCAAAATGTACCCTTTAAAAGCATGACTGGTGACATATCCAGAGTCCGTCCTCGACAGCGAAAGCTCCTTTTCGTGCCTAAACATGTTCATTGATCCTCATTAACCATAGAATGCATACATTTCACTCTCCTCTTCTTACACGTTTTGATGTTTTGTAAGTAATACGAATTCTATAAACAAACCTTTAATGGTAAATGAATTAATCAATATCAAAATAAAAGGATCCGTTTATAATCATCTAGTAACGCAATAATAGTAAATATCAATGAAATAATTATTCAAAAATAAGCCATTGATTACCAAGGATCTATTTTTAACTATAATAGCAAAATCTCGCAAATAAAGTTAATTGATAGTATTGTTTATAAAATTAAGAAGATACAATTTTTTCTTATTTTTAAATATATATAAATTCTATAATGAAATAATAAATTCTATAATGAAATAATTTTTATTAATATAATGAGTTTGCAAAACATTCATGGGCGTCAATGCTATATTTAACATAGGATTCCAGTGAGTCATCAGACGTTACATTCTTCTTTCGGTTTCAAAGATTGTTGACAAAACATGGGAAAAATGTTTACGTACATTACATCAAAAACAAAAACTTCACAATGTAAAATTCAATGAATGAGGTTTTGTTTTTACAAAACGAAAACAAAATGCTTCCGAAGACATGCATCTAGTTTCGTTTTCTATTATTACTTTGATTCTATTTAATTAATAAGAATGTACTTTCGGTTCTATTAATTATCTTTTACTATCTTCTCTAATATATTGATTAATATACAATACATAATATCCAATGAAATCATAGATTTAACAAATTCGAATTTTATATTAAACATACTCGATTCGAAAAACACATACATGAATACTGTAAATCAAACCTCAAAACACTGTATTGGTAAATTTACATGCTATCATTGTATCTGAAAAGTAGTTGTTTAACATTAATATTGAATGAGAGAACCCTTATTTGTGTCATTGTTCAGTGACTTAACCCGAGTTAAACCGTATACAAATACATGCACAGTGCGTTAACGGGAGTACAGGTATTAGTTACCCGCATTCATTGTCTGTCTAAAGCGTGCTCGTTGATTGGCCATTTTTCTGGGGTTTACTTATTTTGAAGAGTGGGAAAGCGATGACAATAGAAAAGTCATATTTTGATGCTCGAACATTGGTTATTTCTTTATTGGGTTTAATATTATGACGACAAGGAACGTCATTTTATTTTTGCCTTTGATACAAAAGGGACAGAAAACCAGACACTGGGTAATCTGATTTAAACACGGGGGCTACGCCTCCTCATATATATATCAGATCAATTCGTGTTTAGATGCTCTTTCTTTTACAAAGAATATCAAGCAAGGTTTCACGCACGCGTAAATGGCTGCAAAGGAATGGTCAGCTGTGTACTGCATACCTTTAGAGGATAGAAATAATACGATACCTAGACGAATGTCTGTTTAGATCTGCGCAGTTGTTGAAATTAATGGGGAAGCTTTACGACACGACAATTCCATTACGTCCGTGCTAGTAGTAATCGTCTTATACTGTGACAGGATTGGTACTCTTCAGTCAATGTAATAATGTGCCAGGAATCCGATACTATTGGTCTTATCTACATATAGACAGACAGTGAAGCTCGTAATGGTTTATCTTAATGCCTTGAAAATTAATTAACTATATCCAGATTAAACGATTTATAAACTTTTAATAAGCAAATGACCAACGATAAAACATCAAATTAGAGCATAGATGTTACCAAATCGTACCAAAATAAAACAGCACACGTGTGACCTCGTTGTACTATATAAAAGGCAGCGATTTAAGTTTTTGAAACCAGAACTATGTCCGCACAGCACTATTCAACTAATCTCAAAAGAAAAATGCAAAACTTTCTCAAAAGACAAAACTTGTTTCCTAATTTCTAAAAGTCAACGAATGGATACATCATTGTAAAAATCAGATGTTTCATGACACTGTAATGCAACAGCTCTTACACCAATGCGTTTGTCCAAATGCAAAACAGTTCCCCTTTTGGTGGAGACAACGTGTTTTCGCATGATTTAATTTTAGCCTGGTTCGACTATATAAAAATCTCGGTGAACCACAGATAGTTGCACAGTGAATTATTTTTTTTTGGAGATACGCAAACAGTGTTTGTCCATCTGAAGAAAATGTAAACATAAATGTTTCGTAACTAAGCCAAACATTTGAAATTGGTCATGAAGTGTAAAGCTGATGTATGTGAATGGTTTATGTACTTATCTTTTTATTGACGACACGTAAAATAAAGTGTAGAACACTCAGACATGGAAGTAGCACAAGTATGTCCAATCATTTTTTTTACGACAAAACTATATTGGACAAACATGCGCTTTCTTGAAATAAATAGATACAACTCTTGGTGGTAAGTAAAAGTGCATCCAGCGTTTGTGACTCACTTTAAAAGCGTATTACAGAAAACTCCGCTTATAACGAATTCATTGGGACATTCAAAAATTGTTCCTTATATCCGGAGTTCCTTGTAAGCGTATAGCGAATTACATGTAGTTCCGTGTATCAGGAGTTTTTATATCGAACAGATTCCCATATAACGAACTGATTGTTTACCATAGTCCTCCATTTTGAAGAGCATTTGATTAAGAAAAATTAGTCATTTATTTGAAATATTTTGCTATTTCATTTTTAGTTTTACACCCCTTCTCAATTGTTCATAAAATATCAATTTTTTTTTCTCAACTCCTCAACTGTTTTCCGTTTTCTTTCCATGATTAAAAACAAACACGATTTTTCGATTTTTCCTTCCTTTTTAAATCGAATATCTTCTGTTATATTTTAAGGGTGACTTTTACAAATGATTTTTTTTTCATTTCGATCAAATTGATTATCAAACATTCATGATTATGTTGCAAACCGATTATAAATCATCATATCTTTTTACTCCAGCAAAACTATTAAAGAAAAGAAATAATAGAATAAAAATGCTTTTTGTAACCGTTTTATCTTGGTGACAAAAACTCGTGCAAAAAATATCCTAAAAAGAAAATTACGTACTACTATACAAATTCATTTTCACAGCTGTATTAATAAACTAAAGTTTTAATCTGTGCCAATGAAAATGAAAGTAGAAAATGCGTGATCTATTTACGGATAGCCGATATTTTGGAGTTCGTTATAATAGTGTAATTTTCTGTACTTTTCACTAAATTGGGACTAAAAAATGAGTTCCTTATAAGCGATAATTCCTTATAACCGTGTTCGCTGTAACCATATATTTTTATATTAAATAAAGAAGGGCAAAATTTCGGGCCAAAATAAATTGTTCCTTATAACCGGAAGTTCGCTATAACCGTGTTCGATATAAGTGAAGTTTACTGTATATATCTTTTGTATCAAACTACATTTTAAAAGCCTGCATTTTATTGATTATATTGATTAAACCATAAAAATGGTCATTTATTTACCCCTCGTTTCTTTTTACAATAAACGACGAAAAACCAAAATAAGTTGTCAAAATATGCTTAATAATTTTTTATTTATTCATCTTTGTTGCCAAAGTTTTACAAAAAGCAAAGCTTTTATCAATGATGATTATGTAATTTTATTTATCGTGTCGTTTTAAAAAAATATTGTTCTAATTGATTTCAGCTGAAACAATGACGACATGTTTCTCTGGTTTGAGAACGAATGCACTTGCTAGACTAGTGTCAGCATTAAGCATACACATCGTCTCTCAATATAGGCATCAGTTTCGTGCATTTACATCAATAAAGCTAGAGCACCCGGGGCATGGAATTTAACAAGTATGTGGGCGCCCGTATATGTAAATGCATATCATTCGATAATTCCACGTTTCGTGCTTTGTTTTTCGTTATGCTTTTCACGGGCTAATGCTTTGCATTTTGACTGTTATATTTTGATAACTGAAACTCAGAGACCGTCGTTGCTCTTAGCTAAGATGCATGGCTTTGACATGGCAAAGCATATTAACAAATACGTTAGAGCGGGACGTGCTACCTGGAATTCTGCAATTACCTCGTGAATGTGCTTTCATCAACTGACTCTGTCAATCGCCATGCATAATGGTAAAAATTGTTAAATAAGTGATTAAATGGAAAGTTATTTAAAATTAATCTAAAGTACTAATGTATTCATTTGTTAAAAATCTGAAAACAAAATTATCCCTCGGAAGCATCAATCACAACAAAATTACAAGAGAATTGCAGACTCGGTTTGATTGAGTCTGTACATGAGGGATAATACATACGTGCAACATCCCTCACGCCCCTAGCACCGGCTTGAGCGGTACTCAATTCTAAACACTCAATAGTGCTAGCATCAATAATCCCGAAGGACCAGAAAAAATATAACAACTCTGAAGTGAAGTACGGGGCAACTTTTTACAGCTGCCACACAGCACTTGACACCTGCTGTTGTGAATTATAAATATCTGGAAACTAAGTGATCCATCGGAAGCATCAATCACAACAAACTTACAAGAGAATTGCAGACTCTGTTTGATTGAGTCTGTACATGAGGGATAATGAATACGTGCAACATCCCTCACGCCCCCTAGCACCGGCTTGAGCGGTACTCAATTCTCAACACTCAATGGTGCTGGTATCAATGATCCCGAAGGACCAGAAAAAATATAACAACACTGAAGTGAAGTACGGGGCAACTTTTTACAGCTGTCATGTGTAAAATATTGCAATACATATTTAGAATTTTTCAACTTTTCGGTAGGTCTACGACTAGGGCAAAATAATTAGCCCGCCATATTGGCACAATTTTTAGAAAGCTTGAATTATTTTTCTTAGTTGTATTGTAAAACTGTTTACTTCGATGGTAAATGCGCGTTTGAAAAGCTAGAAATTATTAACGAAACAATTACTGACTCACAATTCGGATTTAAACTATGGAACTACGGGTTCTTTATTTTACAGGTATTAAGTGACAACTTTAGTCAAAGGAAACGTTGATACGCTGTTTCATTGACTATCACAAGGCTCCATTTGACTCCGCTTTTAGAAGTGCTTTATGCTACACACTGATAAAGCACGTTATTGACGGCAAACTGTTTAAAGTTTTACTATCAATGTAAGCAATTATAAACCCTTGTGTAAAACAAAAAGACAAGGTCTCCGATCTCTGAATTTCTGATTTAGGAGAAATAACGTCACAACGTAATTGTGCATATATATTTTCTTCTCTCTTACTATATTGAAATGGCCATACAAGAAAACACAAAAT